CATTTCCGGGCGCCTTTTCCATCCTTCTTTCCCCTCACTGGGCTTTGAAACTGCGCGCGCGCGCTGTTCCGATTTCCATCGGCTCTGCCGGCGGGACAGTTGGCTCTGGAATGTCTGGAATGCGGAACTCCTTCCAACGTTCCCCTTCCCTTCCCGCCTCTCCAATGCTCTCGCCTCCTGGCGCGCCTCCTATGGCCAGCGCTGATTTGGTCAGCTGGTCCATAGACTCCGCCCTGGGCGCCCGGGAAAGTTCATCTTTCACAGCCGAAGAAAGCCCTTCTTCAAAGAGCATTTGAATGGGTTCCGCCGATAAGTCCCACCCCAATCTGTGTATCAGCATGGTGAACTCAGTCCAGTACTCACGTACAGATCGGCTCCCCTGTTTGCAAGCCATTAACTGTCTGCGCACCACTCCCTTTTCAATATCGCTGGAAAACATCAGATCCATGGCGCGAAAGAACTTCATCGTGTCCTTTAGGACGTCACTATGCGCTGCCATCAGGGGTCTCACCCAGTCTCTCGCCCCCTTTTCAAGATGCCCAATCACAAAGCCACTCGTGATTCCTCATCAGGGAAATCATCAAACTGCAGATTGAGGGCATATTGCATTTCTGTCCGAAAGCTATGATAGTCTTTGGGCTCCCCAAATTTCTGCACCAATCCTGGTACCTTTCTGGCGAGCTGGGTGGCTTTCTCCCTTTGTCTGCATCTTGAGCCCTCCTCTCCTCCAGCCTCGCCGTCTGCAGCGCCAGCTGGACCTCCAACACCCGGTACCTTTCTTCCAGGCTTGGACCCGCTCCAGCCCCTGCTTCTCCGGTTCCTGCTGGGTTGCTCATTATGCCTTCTCCTGCACAAGCTGCGTTCAAAGACTGTCGGAATGCTGTGATGGGATTATGAGCTGCTTGTGCGTAAAATCGTATTCCCTCAGAGTTTGTTCAAGTCCACAAACCTCTGTCTGTGACTGAGCCCCTCTGACATGGCTCCTCTAGTCACTAGAAGATTCCGACAGTGGTTGCTTTCGTAATCGCTTCCAACATAAAAGCTCCTTAACGGAAACACGTCTTCTGGACTCTCTGCGTGACAGTTTCCGGCGAGGAGTGGGTGTCGCTACAGGAGGTCCGGAAACCTCACCACTGTTTTCGCTGGAAGTATCTCTGAGCCATCCCCCCCCAGCTCCCTTTCCCTCAGTTCAGCTTCTCTCCCCCTGCTGGTTTCCTCTTCCGCTGCTGAGTCTCTTCCAACCTGTCTGAGCCCTTTCACCTCCCTCAGTTCAGCTTCTCTCCCCTTGCTGGTTCCCTCTTCAGCTGCTGAATCTCTTCCAACCTGTCTGAGTCCTTTCACCTCCCTTCCTTCCGATGGCAGTTCCCTGACAACCACTTTAGCTAATGGGGCCTCCTGTTGCTGCTGTGCCGCTGGAACACAATTTCTGCTCTCATCCTGAAGCACGGTTCTTAACCTGAAGCACTATTTCTGGGTTAGCGGAGTCTGTAACCTGAAGTGTATGTAACCTGAAGCGTATGTAACCCAAGGTACCACTGTACAATGTTAGGTTAGGAAGAAAAGGTGGAAAGAGGGGTCTGAGTCTGGTGGCAACGCTTCTGTTCTACTTAGTGTATTTGTGGGGTTTTGTGTCATCGTCACTTGCGTATGTTCTCTTTACTATTTGCTTGTATTTCTTTGGTGGCGAGAGAGGTTGGGGCTGGCCTAGGGTGTGGTTGCTTGTCTTTGATTGGCTGTAGTGAAATTTGTTTTTTGTGTGTGAATGGAGTGTGTGTTTGGATCAGGTTAACCAGATTGATTCGAATGCTGTTGGGTTTTGTTGTTGTTGTCTTGTTGGGCTGTGTATGTGATAAAGGGTAAGCATACCAGGGTGAAGGCATCTTCTTCTGTTTGTCCCATGTCAGTTTCAGTTTGTTGGTTAGTTTTTCTAATAAGGCTGTTTCCCATACTATTTGATACCATTGGCCTATGACTACGCCCGACAGGTCTCTCCAGTGTCTGGCTATGGGACTGCCTCTCCTGGTATGCCCCACGGAGGACCTTAAGGTCCATAAATAGCAACACCCTAGAGGTCCCGGGCCCTAAGGAAGTCAGATTAGCCTCAACCAGAGCCAGGGCCTTTTCAACACTGGCTCCAGCCTGGTGGAACGCTCTGTCTCATGAGACCAGGGTCCTGCAGGATCTAATTTCTTTCTGCAGGGCCTGTAAGACAGAGTTGTTCCACCTGGCCTTTGCCTTGGAATCAACTTGATCCCGTCCCCCTCTTTCCCTTTTCCTTTCTCTTTCTGTGATGCAACCCCTATTTTTTCTGGCCCACGTGGGACCAGTCTGGATAGTTGGCCTTGATGAAGATTGGACGTTTTCATCCCCAAAAAGTTTTTGATTTGAGTTTCTACTGAAATGAGGCTGCATTTTAATGTTGTATTTTAATCTTGTTTTTAAGTTGTATTTTAATCAATTGTTTTTATATCGGGTGTTAGCCGCCCTGAGCCCGGTCTTGGCTGGGGAGGGCGGGTTATAAATAAAATTTATTATTATCATTATTATGCTTCTGGCTGCTGAGAGTAGGTGGGTTATGAGCTCTTACACAAATCCATGCAGCCTGCTTTGTAACCACAAAAAGGAAAAGTAAACGGCTTCATTGTAACTCTTGAGCAACTAAACAATCACATTTGTGTGTCCTACAGCAATGTGTGTTTTTGACTAGCGTTGGTCTTTCTTAGTAGTCTAAGTAAAGTCACAGAGCTCAAATCAGCCAGCCCTTATCCCTGGCTCCCCAGAATTGAACCCTCCTTCCTCCCTGATGCTGCTGGTTTTTCAAAAAAGGCCAGAACCACTCTCCACCCATCCCCAGTGCTGCCAGCTTAAACATCCTGGTCACCCAAGTCTCCTTCTCCAACGACTAAAAGTCATTGCCACCAATCCACACCCTTTCCTCTTGGCTGCAAACACAGGCAAATTGCAAGTTTCGCACCCTGTCTTGTTCACTGCAGTTCACTGCTTTCCACTCTGTTAAAATCTCCACCCTACCCAATAGCTGCACTGCTCTTTTCAATGGTTGGCTAGCAGAAGTCTGTTCTGCTCGCTCATGGACACCATTGGATACAAACTCCCATCAGCGGCAGCCAGCGTGCCCAGTGATCAGAGATGATGGGACTTGTTATGTACTGAGTTGAATAGGATCCAAAATGCAGCAATCTGATTGGTCCTAGAACAAGAGGATCCAAAATGCAGCAGTCTGATTGGTCTGCAGGAGCCACCCAATCCAGCTCCAGATGAAAGTGAATCCACAACCTGATTGGCCTACAGGAGAATTCCAGAATTAGCCAATCACGTGCAGCCCATTGTGTAAAAAATGTATATAAAGCAGATACTTTGGGGGAACTTTCATTTCCTCCTCACCACTATGAGCTGAATAAAGAGCATGAAATCCACTCTTGACTCTGAGTATATTTCAGGACTGTAGACCAGCAACATCTGTAAGGAAGATGTCTGCTTTAGGAAGACAAAATGTATCTGTTCCTTCTTATCCTTGGAGATTGTGTAGTAGTTTCAGTGAAGGGTTAGGGGTGGTATCTCAGTGTTAGAGAATTTGTTTTGTGTTCCATTCCTGCTATATTCAGCTAGTGCTGGGAGACACATCTGATCAAGCCCTGGAGACTCGCTGCCAATTGCTGTAGCTAGATGGGTGAGTGGTTTGTCTGAGTGCAAGTAACCCTTCCATGTTCAAGGGTTGCTGTGGGTCATGCCTGGGCCCTCGTTGAGCCCGGGTTCTGTGTTTGACCAAGCTTCACCAATAAACCATGGCTAGCTCCTGTTTTGCTCATGGGATGCCAAGCAAAACTTGGAGGGACAGAACTTTGGAGGAAATCATCCTGTAGTGGGTAGCAAACCTATGGAAAGGGCCTTCAGGACCAGGGAGAGCTCCCAGGGAAGGCTGATGTTGACCCAACAAGCTCCACAGCTCTTCCTTTCTCCAAGAAGGGCCTGATGACTGCATTTCCCAAGCAAGGCAGCTGATTCTTTGAATGCAGAGGTAGCAAAAGCGATACCTTCCAACTTCCATCCTCCCTGACCATTGGCTTTGCTGTTTCTCTACAGCCGTAGGCTTTCCTTCCCCAACCAGATGCTCTACTGTGCTGGCCAAGGCAGTGGGAAGTTGTACTCCAAAACATGAGCTTGCAGAAGGCTGTCCAGATTTAAGAACTACGCTCTCAGGAAAGACAGAATTTTCTTTCTCTTTTACCAGAGAGCAGTGAACGATATACACCCTGGAAATGACATTGTTGACTGTTGATGATGCCAAGCAAATGCCCCCCAAAAGGTGTGGGGAACCTTTGGCCCTCCAGATGTTGCAGAACTACAACTTCCACAACCCCTGGCCATTGACTTTGTTTGCTGAATGGAGTTGCAGTTTGGCAACATCTGGAAGACCAAAGTTTCCCCACCTATGGTCTAAGCATTTAGTACGTCTTTTGTAGTTCTTTGCATCTTCTGGTTGTAATCCCCAGAAACTCAGTTTGCAAACTGCTGGTTTACTAGAAATATACAGCGGTACCTCGGGTTACATACACTTCAGGTTACATACGCTGCAGGTTACAGACTCCGCTAACCCAGAAATAGTACCTCAGGTTAAGAACTTTGATTCAGGATGAGAACAGAAATCGTGCTCCGGCGGCGCGGCGGCAGCGGGAGGCCCCATTAGCTAAAGTGGTGCTTCAGGTTAAGTACAGTTTCAGGTTAAGAACGGACCTCCGGAACGAATTAAGTACTTAACCCGAGGTACCACTGTATTGATAACTGGGTTAAAACGCTTCAAGTTGGAGTAGGGTTTGAAATAGTATAATGGGTGGGTTGCCTGTGTTGTTCAAGAGGTTAGATTATTTTGGAAAAATGTGCGCTCTTTCCCCATGTGTTATAAATGTATCTGAAATGTATGCTGGTTTAATTTCTTTAAAAATGGACATGCACCATTATAATTCTTTCTTTCTTTCTTTTTTGCTGACTTTGGGGTGTTGCCCTCTAACTAAGGGAGTGTTATTTATACCTCTCACTTCCTCATCTTCTGGAAACTTCCTGTCTCTTTGGCTTGTAAAGTGCCAAATGTAAAAATAATTGGGCATAAGCCCAATCTGGTGGAGTTTCCTCAGAAGTAAGTCCCATGGAATCAAATGAGGACAATTTCCTTGTAAAAATGCTTAAGTCTGCAGCCTTGATGAAGTTTCATGAGACACAAGGCGGGACCTGAGCGGTTTATGTTTAGATCTGTGCAGTTCATCTCCTTAAAAAAGGAAAGGAAACTGCGAGCCCTTTTAAACTGCCTCTGTGATGAAATCAAGAATCGATGTGTGCGCTTATGAGCAGCTGTTTATAACTGGAGCTCTTATTGCGGTGTTTGTGTGTCATGTTCTCTTTAATAGTAATTGCCAGCTTGCTTCGATAGCAGCTCCTTTCTCTGGGCATCAAGGGATTCTGTTCTTATCCCACAAATTAGAACTATTAATTTATTTACATTATTTTTCGTGCCGCCTTAAAATACTGGTCCAGCGAATGGCTTGTGTGACAAATAGACAATCTCTTTGAGCAATAATCATTCCGTTAAAAGCAACAAGTGGAAGAACACATCAGTAATAAAACCGAAATGGTTAATTCAAAATGAAGGGTATCAAAATATAAACAAACAGACGTACGGATTTTAAAATGGAGAGCAGAGGGATAAGAATCCTTAGAGCTGAACAATATTAGAACAGCAACGTAGTTCAAAAGGCCTGGGGAAATTAAATTGACTTTCTCAGGGGCTGAAAAGATATTGGAGGAGGTATCTTATGGGTCTCCCTGGGGATGGTTTTCCATAACTGGGGAGGGGGAGGCACTACTGCAAAGGCCCTTTGCTCTTCTACTAACCCAGCGTATCTCACTATGGCTCCGTCTGCACTATGCACTTAAGTATCATGCCACTTTCAGCAATCATGGTTCCCCCCAAAGAATCCTGGGAAATGTAGTTTAAGGGCTCAGAGAGTTAGAATCATAGAATCATAGAGTTGGAAGAGACCACAAGGGCCATCGAGTCCAACCCCCTGCCAAGCAGGAAACACCATCAGAGCACTCCTGACATATGGTTGTCAAGCCTCTGCTTAAAGACCTCCAAAGAAGGAGACTCCTCCACACTCCTTGGCAGCAAATTCCACTGTCGAACAGCTCTTACTGTCAGGAAGTTCTTCCTAATGTTTAGGTGGAATCTTCTTTCCTGTAGTTTGGATCCATTGCTCCGTGTCCGCTTCTCTGGAGCAGCAGAAAACAACCTTTCTCCCTCCTCTATGTGACATCCTTTTATATATTTGAACATGGCTATCATATCACCCCTTAACCTCCTCTTCTCCAGGCTAAATATGCCCAGCTCCCTTAGCCGTTCCTCATAAGGCATCGTTTCCAGGCCTTTGACCATTTTGGTTGCCCTCTTCTGGACACGTTCCAGTTTGTCAGTGTCCTTCTTGAACTGTGGTGCCCAGAACTGGACACAGTACTCCAGGTGAGGTCTGACCAGAGCAGAATACAGTGGCACTATTACTTCCCTTGATCTAGATGCTATATTCCTATTGATGCAGCCCAGAATTGCATTGGCTTTTTTAGCTGCCGCATCACACTGTTGGCTCATGTCAAGTTTGTGGTCTTTGTTCTTTGTAGACCCCCTAATCCTCTTGCAATTCTCTTCCCAGGGAACTTTGAGTATTGTGGGGGGAATAGGGGAAACGAAAGCTCTTTCTAAGCACAAGCACATGGCTGTTCTTTAAAACAGTATCTGAGAAAGTGGAATTCCTAAAAAAAATTCTGGACATGGACAGCATGCCCATTGCACACACATGTTTATGGGGCAATATCTGACCTGATATTTGTGCATTCATAGGTGTAAAAGGATGGCCAGTAGGTGCCAGTCCTTACAATGGATGTGGGCATGCTGAGGGCAGAGGTTGCTGCTGTGGTGTCGCCCTCTAACTGCCAGAAGAAAGGCCACAGCTTAGTAGTGGGACACCTGCTTTGCATGCAGAAGGTCCCAGTTTCCATCCCCAGCATCTGCAGGTAGCGCTGGCTGAATTCCTAGGGAGAAACTGTGCAGACAACACTGAGCCAATGGTCTGAGGCACCTTCTGATGTTCCTACTAAGAATTAGAGGAGTTGGAGGCTGCTAGACTGGGCTGGCACAGTGGTCTAAACCACTGAGGCTCTTGGGCTTGCTGATCGGAAGGTCAGCAGTTCGAATCCCTATGACGGGGTGAATTCCCATTGCTCTGTCCCAGCTCCTGCCAACCCAGCAGTTTGAAAGCACACCAGTGCAAGTAGATAAATAGATACCACTGTGGTGGGAAGGTAAACAGCGTTTCTGTGTGCTCTGGTTTCCATCATGGTGTTCCGTTGCACCAGAAGTGGTTTAGTCCTGCTGGCCACATGACCCAAACAGCTCTCTGTGGACAAACGCCGGTTCCCTCGGCCTGAAAGCGAGATGAGTGCCGCAGCCCCATAGTTGCCTTTGACTGGACTTAACTGTCCAGGGGTCCTTTACCTTTTCCTCCCCCCCCCCAAGCTTGAGAAAACAAGGCCTTTCCTCCAGGAGGAAGAAATGTCTGATGCTCCTCCTGCCTGCCTGTCCTAGTTTCCTCATATTACAGGGCTTCTCTATGCACCTGTGAACATCATCCCCCGAAGATGCGAGCATAGGATTTAAGATGCTTATATCAGGTCACAGAATCATAGAGTTGGAAGGGACCCTGAGGGTCATCAAGTCCAACCCCCTGCATTGCAGGAATCTCAGCTAAAGCGTTCATGACAGAAGGCCATCCAACCTTTGGTTAAAAAACTCCAAGGAAGGAGAGTCCACCGCTACTCGTGGGAGACGATTCTACTGTCAAACAGCTCTTGCTGTCAGAAAGTTTCTCTGAATGTTGAGTTGGAATCTCCTTTCTTGCAACTTGACTCCATTGGTTCTGGTCCTACCCTCCAGAGCAGGAGAAAACAAGCTTGTTCCTTCTTCCATGGGACAGCCCTTGAGATATTTGAAGATGGCCATCATATCTCTTCTTTTCCAGGCTAAACATACACAGCTCCTTCAACTGCTCCTCATAGGTCAGGCTTTTAGTCTGTCATGGTCCGGTTCACGGGCGATCAAAGTCCCGGCTGGGGACGTTGGGATCGGGGGCAAGATGGTGGGGTGGGAGCAGGAACGGGAGTCCAGAACCAGGAGTCAGGAAGCCAAGGGTCCGAGGATCAAGAAGCAAGGAGTCACGACGTCAAGGGTCCGAGGATCAAGAAGCAAGGAGTCACGACGTCAAGGGTCTGAGGATCAAGAAGCAAGGAGTCACGAAGTCAAGGGTCCGAGGATCAAGAAGCAAGGAGTCACAAAGTCAGGGGTCCGAAGATCAAGAAGCAAGGAGTCACAAAGTCAAGGGTCCGAGGATCAAGAAGCAAGGATCACGAAGTCAAGGGTCCAAAGATCAAGAAGCAAGGAGTCACGAAGTCAAGGGTCCAAAGATCAAGAAGCAAGGAGTCAAGGAGTCAAACACGGCAAGGCAGGGAACATGCTGCTGTGGCAAAGAGCCAAAGGGAAATGCTGACCTTATATCCCTTCCCAGCTCTTGCCACCAGGTGCTGTGAGTTACCAATCAGCCTCACCTGTGCTGCCGTGCCTTGCCTCTTCAGAACAAACTTAGGAAGGCCCCAGTCCTGCATAGTCCTACTGGTCACAGGGCCTGGCTCCTGCACACAGTCCTGACATAGTCCATCTGTCTAAGAACTGTCCACTAGGAAGGGAGGTAGCTCAGTGGTATAGCCTCTGCTTTGCATGCAGGAGGTCACAGGTTCAATCCCCGGCGTCTCCAGGTAGGGCAGGGAAAGATCCTGGCCTCAAATCTTGCTGTTAGACAGTGTAGGCAATATTGAGCTACATGGAACAGTGGTCCAGCTCAGCACAAGGCAGCCCCCTGTGCTCTGTGTCCCTCCAGAAGGTGAGTCGGCAGCCCGTGTGCCTCCCATCACAGCGTGCAACTCGGAAGAGGCCTCCTCCCTTGGAAGCTGCGTGTTTGAGGCTGCTTTTGCAGATTATTTCCTCCTGCAGCTGCCGATTTCCCCATGCCTTCCGGGCAGTTGAGTGTGACATTTGGGAACTTGCTGCGCATCTTTCCGCATCAATTCTCAGCGGTGTGCCGCTGACCGTATTCTCTGTCAATTAAAAACCGAAGAAGGTAAGAGGCTTCTGTGCTGATATGGGAAGAGGAGAAAGGGGAAGGTCACACACCAGTTGCCGTTCATCTCAAAGGAGACAGAAATCAGGTGCCGTTAGCTTCCTGATTGTGTTACACTACCCATTTATACAGGGACGTGGGTGGCGCTGTGGGTTAAACCACAGAGCCTAGGACTTGCCGATCAGAAGGTTGGCGGTTCGAATCCCCGCAACGGGGTAAGCTCCCGTTGCTCGGTCCCAGCTTCTGCCAACCTAGCAGTTCGAAAAGCACGTCAAAGTACAAGTAGATAAATAGGTACCACTCTGGCAGGAAGGTAAACGGCGTTTCCGTGCGCTGCTCTGGTTCGCCAGAAGTGTCTTAGTCATGCTGGCCACATGACTCGGAAGCTGTACGCCGGTTCCCTCGGCCAATAAAACGAGATGAGCGCCACAACCCCAGAGTCGGCCACGACTGGACCTAATGGTCAGGGGTCCCTTTACCTTTAGCTTTACGCATTTATACAGGTGGGGAAATAGCATGTACCCCTCGTTGCTTATGGAAAAATCTGAAGAACGCTCCACTAGTTATAAAGTGTGTTGGAGGCTGCAATGCGTCTGAATACCAGTTGCTAGAATTCAGTGCTCTAGTGCTCTGAATTCAGTGCTCTGGTTTCCCACAGGCATCTTGTCGACCACTGTGAGAACAAGATGCTGGAGTAGACGGGCCATTGGCCTGATCCAGCAGACACCTCTTATGCCCCTGTTGTTGGCATACAATCAAGGAAACGGGGGCAACTGGCAGGCCCTCAGCTGCCTCCAACCCATGGACGGTGTGCCAGGCGATCTCCAGTCCTTGTTGCAGCATCTGCAACCCACAGCTTCAAAAGCTGGGGCACGCAACTCAGCAGAGATAACGCGCAAACAGAAGTGGCAAGGAGAGGTTGTGTGAGCATATTTACAAGCAGTTTATTAAGCATAAAGTAAAGGTAAAGGTACCCCTGACCATTAGGTCCACTCATGGCCGACTCTGGGGTTGTGGCGCTCATCTCACTTTATTGGCCGAGGGAGCCGGCGTACAGCTTCCGGGTCATGTGGCCAGCATGACTAAGCCGCTTCTGGCGAACCAGAGCAGCGCACGGAAATGCCGTTTACCTTCCCGCCAGAGGGGACCTATTTATCTTTTTGTAAAAAAAATGATATTTATTGAAAAAAAATTTTAGAATTACAAAAAAAAACAAAGTAGAAAAAGAGAAAGAAAAAACAAAGAAAAAACAAACCACATCAAACAATACAAATTAATAAAAATAAAAATCAGAAAATATACCACAAACATTTAAAAACAAATCCAATATTCTCAAATCCTTAACTGTCATTACCTTCTTTCTTTGACCTCCTCCTCCTCCCTTTTTTTGTATCCTAGTTGTTAATTGTCGCAGCAAATCCTTTCCATATTTCATAATATTCTGTCATTACATTACCTTAATCTATTTTAATCTTATCTTACTATAAAAAAACCTTAAAACTTAAAACTTAAATCTTATTTTTACCAATTTCTCATAACCATAATATTCTTACATAATTCTTTAAATATTTTTGCTAAAGCCAAATAATTTCGTTCGAACATTTTTCTAACATTCATCAATTTTATAAAAGAATCCTAATAAAAAAAATAAAAAAACAATCCAATCTTCATCCAGCGTCTCTTCCTCCTGGTCCCGGGTTTTGTCAGTCCTCTCTATCCCATCAGTCTAGCGCATTAACCTGGTAATCTTATATCCGAGGCCCTTAAGTCCCTTCCATGTCCCTTCCGTGGCTCTTCTTCATATTTATAGCTGTATTTTCCTTTGTCTCCTGCTCCTTTCACTCGTGGGAACTCCAGCTTAACAATGTTTTTGACCCTTCTCGACAAATCAGCCCCTTTTCCATAGTTCACACTAAACTCCATGTGGTATTTAAGAACATGTTTCAAAGTCCCTCCAAATTTAAGAGCCCCCACAACCCCAAACATCTCACGGCCCATTACCAGACTTGTAAAGTCCAAACATCCCTGCATAGGGGCGTCTATCCAACCCCCCATTTCCAAACCAAGCCAAACTTTGTCTTTCCAAATCTGGCTTTTTCCAAGTTCATTTGTCAAATCCAAGAACTCATGTTCCTGCTGGGCCGCAGCTCCCTCCATCTCTGGCGTCCGAGGTTCAGCAACATCCTCTTCCCTCATCTGTTCTGTCAGGGCACACTCCTGATTTGATTCCTGGGTGGGCTCCATATAATTTCCCACTGCCTGTTCAAAATTTCTGATCGCATCAGTCATCAAGTCCGTCTTCTCATGTAGCTGTTCCAGTAGGGCACTTGTTTTACAGAGAGCACACAGCAGAGCTTCTGAATACATTGTCCTGCAAGGTCAGAAGTCTATTCCCACGATCGTAATCTGTAGCAGCTGCAAGCTCCCCGATTCAGAATTGGTTACAGTTTCACAGGCTCCCTCTAGGGGAAAAACTTCTATTTGTTCTTTTCTTTTAAAGACAGATCTAACAACAAAGTTTCCTTTTTCGGATATTTTGTCAATATTTGTTCCTTTAAAATGCGAAAGGGAGCAATGGAATCACTATGTTTCTCTTCTTTTAGCTATCTGTCAAAAACGTTTGTCTCTGGTCAATGAGCTTCAAAAAACGTCAGTCCTGACACCCCGCTCCAGGATCAAGACGGTGGAAAGTTACTTTGCTTTACACTCACTTCTGCAGGTTTAAACAGTCCGAAAAAAATCCCCCCTCTTCTCCTGCTTCCGAAGGGGGTTCAACAATTTTAAATGGTGAAAGTTAATCCTTTACAAGCGATTTTCTGAACTCTAGTTTGCCATGTCTTTGCTTTAATCTATCTACAAAGAAACGGAAGGCTGACTTCCTGTTTAGACCTTCCCGTTTCAGTACCAAATTGAAATAAACTTTTAAGTCCAATTTTCCTTTCTACTCGCAATTCCTTATTTAGAGTCCAATTGTCCGAAATTTAAGTACTCACGGTGATTGTTTTAAAAGCCAAATTGTCCCAGGAAAAAGGCAGCGCTCTCCGGCAACGGCTGTGCGGCTTCGCTCCACGGAAGAAGCAGTTGACTCTCAGCACTGCGCCACTTCCCCCTCTTCGCTCCAGAGCCCGTTAGTGGGTTCCTTTGCGGGTTGGGGGGGCGCTAAAGGTGCCCGCCGAGTCCCATGGTCACAGGCTTCATCCGCCTGTGATTTTTGAAAGGGTCCCCGCTTCGCCGTAGCGGAAAAGACCCGTTTCCCGTGGAGCTGGTCCCTCCAGATCAGAGGGAATCCGCCATTACCGATGGCGCCACCCCGGAAGTAGAGGGGACCTATTTATCAACTTGCACTTTGACGTGCTTTTGAACTACTAGGTTTGCAGGAGCAGGGACCGAGCAATGGGAGCTCACTCCGTCGCGGGGATTTGAACTGCCGACCTTCTGATTGGCAAGTCCTAGGCTCTGTGGTTTAACCCACAGCGCCACCCACGTCCCTCTTTATTAAGCATACATCAGGACAAAAGGAAAACATGTCCGATCCTCTTCATGTCCAAAGCAAGAACACTAAAAGTGAAAGCTGGGAAGTTCCCAGCAAGCTGTGCTGGAGTGTAAACAGGCATGTGACACACAACAACAATCATGTCTGTTCCTTGAGGTGGAATGGAATATACTAACATTTATGTGTTGTATAGTTCCTAATGCTCTAGGCTCATCTTTGGCTGCCTGGTGCCATCCAGATGTTTTGCACAGCCGCTCCTCCAGGGCTGGCTGGAGCTGATGAGAGTTGGGGTCAAAAACATCTGGAAGGCACCTAGCAGAGTTGCCGTCACCTCCAAACATCCCCTGGGATCCAGTTTTTTAGAGCTAGACCTCCATGTGACGCACAGCTGCATCTCCGCATCAAGGTCTTCCCTTCTGTTCCTCCTGGTCAGCTATCCCTCATCGTGACATTATTGCCGCGTGCTTTTTCCTTCTCTCTGCCACCAGTGGCGATGGGGAAATTGCCCATTGTGGCCGGATTACGAGTGCGGAACTGGCCAATCCTACACATTACAGGGGAGAAGGTGGCACATGTGTTCTGTTTTGGGTGACAAGTCTGAGTTGTTGCATTTTCAGGTTATAGTTTCCCATTGCGCTCTACGTGGGGCTACCTTTGAAGGTGACCCGGAAACTACAGCTAATCCAGAATGCGGCAGCTAGACTGGTGACTGGGAGTGGCCGCCGAGACCACATAACACCGGTCTTGAAAGACCTACACTGGCTCCCAGTACGTTTCCGAGCACAATTCAAAGTGTTGGTGCTGACCTTTAAAGCCCTAAACGGCCTTGGTCCAGTATATCTGAAGGAGCATCTCCACCCCCATTGTTCTACCCAGACACTGAGGTCCAGCGCCGAGGGCCTTCTGGCGGTTCCCTCACTGTGAGAAGCCAAATTACAGGGAACCAGGCAGAGGGCCTTCTCAGTAGTGGCACCTGCCCTTTGGAACGCCCTCCCACCAGATGTCAAAGAGATAAACAACTACCAAACTTTTAGAAGACATCTGAAGGCAGCCCTGTTTAGGGGAGCTTTTAATGTTTGATGTATTACTGTATTTTAATATTTGGTTGGAAGCTGCCCAGAGTGGCTGGGGAAGCCCAGCCAGATGGGCGGGGTATAAATTATTATTATTATTATTATTATTATTGAACTGGGTTGGACTTCCTTCCACGTAAACATGGATAGAATTGGGGCGTGTGGGTTCCTGTGAATGGGGGGAACAACCTTCTTGCAGGCAAAGCAAAGCCTGCCTAAAAAGGTAAAGGGACCCCTGACCGTTAGGTCCAGTCGCGGACGATTCTGGGGTTGCGCAGACAGCTTCTGGGTTATGTAGCCAGCATGACTAAGCCGCTTCTGGCGAACCAGAGCAGTGCACGGAAACGCCGTTTACCTTCCCGCCAGAGCAGTACCTATTTATCTACTTGCACTTTGACGTGCTTTTAAACTGCTAGGTTGGCAGGAGCAGGGACTGAACAATGGGAGCTCACCCCATTGCGGGGATTCAAACCGCTGACCTTCTGATCAGCAAGCCCTAGGCTCTGTGGTTTAGACCACAGTGCCACCCGCATCCCTTCTAAAGCCTGCCTAGTTTATTATTATTTTTTAAAAGTTCCTCCATCCACCCCCTCCCCAAAATTTATTGTTTTCTATACCTACCCTTTTGACATGGAATGGGCTTCAAATCATTGCTGTCGTCATCTACAATCTATCCTAAATTTAGGACCTCGAGGTGACATGCATTATTTTTCCCATGCTGTCTGTTTTGCTCTCAAGAACCCTGTGAGGTAGGTTAGGCCGAGAGGCAGTGATTGGCCCAAGGTCACTTCTTTTCTTATTTTTAAAAAAGTTTTTATTTATACTTTTCAAATTTATACATTTCATTAATGTTACAATCATTTTAACATTTCAAAGTTTGACTTCCTTCCCCCACTTTCGGCGGTTCCTTACATTTATTTTTAAATATCTACTGCATATCCAAAGTCATTTAATTTGCTCATTTAGTTATCTACTTTAGATATATACTGTTAAGAAACTGCATGTTATTACAATAATCCTGCCAGTGTTTT